CGAATTTTTATTTTAAATTTAATAATATAATTTAATACATATATAAAAATTAACATATATATGTTTGTCTTAAATAATTATTCCTCATTTAGTTACAGTTAGTTGGGCTGATGATGTTGTTTTATTTGCATGATTGTAAGAGATTTCAACTATCATTATTCTAAAAGCAAAAGTTAATCTCCTATTGTTTCACCGCAAAGCTGGATCAGTGCGGGTTTTTTATGCATTGATCGGTTTAATATAATCGGTTTAATCGCTTTCAAATGTGAAGTGTGAGTATGTGTGAGCATCGTTTGATATCGATTGTCCTGATTTTTTGCGAAATTGCATGTATAAGGCAATGCTCCAAGATTAATTTATAGATATATCTTATCGATTCGCGGGTACCAAGTAATACATGAGCTATTTTAAATCTCGCTCGAGAGACTTTTATTACTTTATTAAATTCGCGGTACTGTCTATCTTTGACTTGAGAATTGGAGCGGGATAGTTGTTAGAGGGTGAGATCTGAATTATGACGTTATAATGGTCGTATCTTGTCCGTCGCGAAATAGACCGTCTGGTAAGCTAATTCTGAAGCGAATCTCGTATAATTAGAACACGAGAGTGGGCCTAAAGGAAGCTGAGGATATACTGCTACATCTTCAGCGTTACACCAGAGCATATGTGATTTGAAATTGGAATCGAGAAGGAATTTTAGTGAAGCGACCATATCAGCGAATATGAGCGAAGAGAAGTGGGAGTACAAAGTGACTATTTCCTTCGACGTTATCCGAGAATTTAGTTCCGCGTATTAGTAGTCTATAGAAGTCTATAGACACGTATATACGAGCGCATTGTGATGATAGATATGTGCATATGTGCAAGAATATGGCTATGTAATGCAAGGATGCAGTCAGCACGAGGTTTTGATATCGTACTGGGACGATCAGAAATTTCATTTCTCTCTCTCTCTCTCTCTCTCCTTTTCTTCGTGAGATTAATTCGTGTTATAGTCAATCTGGTTGATCAGAAATTCGTACACGTGCTTCGATGCCTTCGATGCATTGACCGCTCGCGAATCGTCGACTTATTCCGCGTCATAAAGCAACCTGTTGATGTTTCACATTCCGTTAAAATCGCGATCAATCGATGAGATCTAATAGTGTTTAATGTCGATGTTGATTTCTAACAGATATTGTAACTGCGGATTATGTCGGCACGTTTCGTGGATATATATATATATATATATATATATACATGTGTTACTTTGACGAATGCAGTCACAATCGTATCAAAATGCTAAGTTCTCTCTCATCGGCGAAAAGCACCATATCAGCGATACATCATCGGTATTCATACAACTGGGATGTATCATAGAACTGGTTTGTCAGCGATAATTCAGAATCTGTCGACGTAGAATGTAAGCCTTTATCCGTCAAAGCACATATAGAGAACGGCGGAAGTAATGTATGAATGCTAATGCTCGGAAAGCCATGCAACGAATGGATCGATTTGATTAATACGCAGAATAATCTGTATTGATTTGTGATTGTGATACGAACTGATTCGCAATAACATTGGTGCACTTAATGTCGACAAGCGCGATCCGTTTATTCTGTACTGTGTTCGTATTCATTACTTTTCGACAAAATTAGAGCTAGAACTTTCTTATGTATATATGTATTTATCGTTTTTAAATTATTACATGAAAGGGCAAGGTTTTGTTGAAATATCTAAAAATTTAGCTAGATACAGATCTGAAAATAATTCTGTTGGACCTCAACATAATTATATAGAACGTTTAAACTGGTTGCTAAAATGTTAAAAGTTTTATGCGACATTACTCATAATATATATTTTAAAGTTCTACGTAAATTATTTGGATGGTCCAACAAAATTATTTTTAGATGTATATCTACTTAAAATTTATTTTATTTGTAATCTCTTTATAAGCAGTTTCTGTCTTACTGCAAATGCAAAATTATACGTGTTAAAATTTTGTTAAATTTATTTTTTTGCTGCCAAATTTATGGTGAGAACTGATGGATTATTACGTAGTTTAAAGTCGATATACATAATCGATTCTTATTCTAATATCATCTTAAGTAATATCTTAAGATGCTAATATAACTCTGTGGGTGGTATTCATAATCCATTCTTATTTTAAGACCGTCTTAAATAATGTCTTAATATGACATGCTAATGCAGCTCTCTGATTGGCTTATGACACCTTAAGATTATACTTAAACACTCTTAAATATATAAACCAACGATAAATATCGGCCTTAAGCGTAAATCTATCGGTTCGCAAAATATTTTATTACGTACCATTATAGCAAAAAATAAATTTAACAAAATTTCAACGCATCTAATTTTTCATTTACGATACAACAAAAACAGCTTATAAAAAGAGGAGAGAAAAATATGGAAAAAATATTTTTCTGAATCTACTTTAGGACGATTTATTAAATCTATTTTAGAATCCATTTATATATATTTATGAATTTTTCGGTAGGTCACTTTTTATTTCTATAAACAACTTATTTGTTTCACTTTGTATAAGTACTTTCTTGTTACATATTTTTGTGGAGTTATCTTGTTTTGGATAATTGTCCGCATTGCATTCTTTTTATCGGATCATTATTGGACATAGGTGAGGGTTAAATGTACAAAACACAGTCGACTGTAACAGTGTAACCATGTTTTTCTTACATTTTTTTTTAGAAATCTTTTGCTATATGCGCTGCCCGACAGCTCTACAACAAAACGCCTTTTTCACTTTTGTTAGCCATTCTCGTATTGTATTACGCACAGTGACAAAAGCAGATAAGAAAGAAAACGAAAAAGAGAAAAATGAACAACAAAGATCCTTGCAGCAACACGATTGTCGTCTCTACATCCGGTTACCGTAGCCAGCGAAGTAGAAATCTTATCACAGCAAACTTCATATCACGTCGATCTATAATATATTATGTTTGATAATCATGTTTGAGATCCTTCAAAATCGAGATCAGATTAAAAGCTTGGCGCATTTTCCGAGAAATCTATTTAACGTTTTATTGTTTTACTAGTATGATAAACAGATAATGAATAAATTGTAATCACGGATTTATATAATGCGCGATATTGATCAGGGCAGCTTTTATAATTAGTTGTACAGCCTCATACAATGACCCGAGCTAGTTAATCGTTGTAATTAATTTAGGAATCGTCTAGAGAGAGGGAGACAGAGAAAGAGAATGCGCGCCAGAAAGGCCGTTACCGTCACTGCATTAATTCTGTAATACGGATATAATGAATTTACGACGTGGCTCACACGAACATATCCCTATAGATAGGATAAAATCTTCAAATAATGTTCTACTATATATTACAAGTAATATATCCTATCTTCTTTTTTATATGAGACATCACATTTCCATATTATTATATTTGGCTGAGAATGTTTTTTTTAGGATATTTTTTCATATCTACACGAAGAATCTTATGAATCATTCAGTACGTTGAAGTTTTTGAGTGAACAAGAAAGTAAGGCGAAAAAAAGGAAAAGAAAATCTGGAAAGAATAAAAGATAAGGGTACAAGTTGGAGATAAAGGACGATATTAAAGGCGAGATCCTTGTAACGCAGCAACAGTAAACATTATCATGACGTATTAATTAAGACATTTAAAGTGCTTTCGCGAAGAAACAATAAAGTTATAGGAATTCGGTCGATTTCGTTGATACGATAATTTAAGAAATTTTTATGTCGGTAGTACATGCATAATATATTATACACGCGGTCTGCCTCGTCATTTAACGATGAATACGTTGGTATGCCAACGTACGTTTCCAACGCCATTTTCAGACCTTATCAACCGAAAAAATCGCCTACGCCGAGCGGCAGCAGATCGGGTTGGCGTTCTCGTAGGAGCATCACGACGGCGGGAGCCCCCGGAGGGCACCAACACCACGTGATTGCTACTGCCGCCGCGACGGCTCAAGCTAGGATGCAGGCCGAGCAGGGCAGCATCGGCGAGCTACGTGGGTACCACAACCTGCGATCCCGCAGGCACACCTTGGCCAACGTTCGGTGAGTCTCGATTTTAGCCATTACACTGGGATGAAAGGCGAACGGAGCGCCGATCAATACTTGCAGATGACAAGAATATACAGAAAACATCGCACGATGTCTAAAAAGCGTAAATTTTTGAGATTGTCCTTAAACATTCGTTGTGCGGATAGATCTCTGCGCTGTTTGATTTCTGTTATTTACGATTGAAATTACTTATTGAAGAACGCGTAGAATAACGAAAGGGAATTGATTTAATATAGAACCGTATTGATTTGTCTATAGTCTATACAATATCGTTGATTTGCATGGAAAATGTTCTTGAATTTTTAAAATACAGATTAAAATGAAACATTTATATTTTTCGAATTGTCTGTTTACTTTGAATTGAATCGATATATTGATATATTACAGGTACATATACATGTATAAAAAACATTTGAATATAAATTTAATATTTGATTTTATCGTTGCACTATACGCTACAACGAATGAATTAAAAGCACGGAGAAGCATTTATTCATATAATGAAATTGTTCGCATATAATATATCATTGTAAAGATCATATTATCGAAAATTACATACTATATATCTCTTTTTTGATCTTTTATATCCTTCCATTTTTTACTGGCGTTGTCTCAACCAGAGATCTAACACAAGAGTTCGCTATTCACGTAAACTCTGATTAAATTCTGATGCATTTTTCACATTTTATTCATGATTCTGCTGCTAGCCACTCTTTCAAACTTTTTATCACTTTATCACTATCATAACGTTTTATAGCATTTTTACAGCTTATATTGTGGCTGCATATATTTTTTTGTATTATTTTAATATTATTCATATTATTGAATGGATAAAATTATTGGCAAAATAAATGCTACAGTATAATATCAACTGAAATATTTAATTAAACAATATATATTATTATACGACTGATTGAATAAAATGATAAATATGTGTATTTAATCTCCACAATAGCAGTTTCCTTTTTTAATTGGTTCTGCACCAGTTTTCTCTAATTTGAAGCAAATGCAACTTGCGGATAGCGGTTCCACAGTCGATTTTTCCTCTAAAATTGACTGCAAATTATCTTTTCTTTTTTGTTCGACAGGATTAATCTTTTGCTTAGATATTTTGGCCAAGCAAGCCTGGTCCCTTTTTTTGATTATTCTTTTTTGAGATATCGCACATGATTTACTAGTCAGTGACACATATCTGCAGCTCTCCTGATCATGACAAATCTTCTTGATGATCTTCTCGATGTGCTGTCTCTCATGCGGTATCTTGCTCTGTATTTTCGCTTTGCAATCGCTACACAATCTATCATGCAATATCGGCTGATCGATTTTAGGGCGAATAAACATACGCTTGAACGTAGATGCCGCCGGAGGCGTTGCATCTATCTGCGGTTGAACCTCTAATCTAGGTCTTGTCGACGGCGAAGTTGGAGTTTTACCGCATGAACAACAGTTACAAGTTGTTCTACCCATTTCGTCGGACTTCCCGCCATAATTAATTGTCCTAATCTCGCGTTCTGTGTCCGGTCGCGCTAGCCCGGCGGCGATCTTTATAGATCGTAAAAGTTCATCCGTGGGCACTCTCGCGCGTTCTCTTTCATCTCTTACAACTCGATCGTGGCTAACGTGGCTTGTTTTATCCGTCTGTGATCCGATGCTGGAAGTCGTGACGGTCGATTGGTCCTTTAAGCGTTCGCGCCAGAGCATTTTTCGGCCGGTTATTTCAGGACGGTCGCCAGCGATTTCAGTCCTCGATGCTTTTAGCTCGGTTGATTTTGAATATTCACTAATACTTTGTATACGGGGCGGTTCAGGGATCGAAATTGTCTGCGAAGTTATTTGTACAACTTCAGTTTTGACGCTCTCGGTTTGTACAACTTTGGCTTGTTCGACCTTATTTTGTATGATCTCGGTTTGTATCATTTTGGTTTGTACGACCTCGGATTGTATAACTTCGGTTTGTACGATTTCGGTTTGAGGTACATCAATTTGCGGAATCTCGAACTGCCTCGTGGTCTCGATCGGTGGTTGCTGCAAGTGAAGGAATCATGTATTCAGAATGGTCAACCGCTATTAATACATGTGACTAGAACGAGACAAGAAACTATGAATAATTTAATGCTTCCATACCATGTATATGAAAGCTATTATTCTTTCTCAGAAAGACGTTACAATTGTGTTAGTGTTTGTTAAGAAATTGTTATCAATTATTAATAATTATTAAGAAAGCGATAATTGAAGTGAATAATATTTACTAACCGAACAACATTCCGTACATGGTGGCTTCGCGGGTATAATCTGCGGTTCCTTTTCTTTGATCTTCGCTATAATTAGATACGGCACTAATCTTGAATCGAATGGTATCGCTGGTACTTCCATTTCGGTCGATTTTATTTCAGCAATTGGAATTTTTAATTCTATCTGGATCATTTCTGGCCTTTTCTCTTCTGGTACTTCTTTTATTTTTGATTTCTTGAGCAGCGGGGCTATTGTCGGTATTTCCTCTTTTTCCATTTGAAGTATTTTTTCTTCTTCCTTCTTTTCAAATAATTCGATAGGTCTAACTTCTTCCGGCAGTGGAACTTCTTTTACTTCTTCATCTTCATCTTTTTTAATTTTTTCTTTAAGCACTTTTTCCAGGTCTTCTTCGATCTCCTCTTCCATTTCTTTTTTTATCGTTGGTAATGTTGGTATTGGCTGAATTATTTCAATCTTTTCTTCTGTTACTTCATCCGCACGTAATAATTCTTCCGCTTCAATTTTTTCTTCCTTTATCAATTCTGCGGCTTCTATTTGTTCTTTTTTTACTATATCCGTAATCGGTAGAACCTCTGCGGGTTCAATTTTTTCTTCTTTTGCTATATCCGTAATCGGTGAAACCTCTGCGGCTTCAATTTTTTCTTCTTTTACTATATCCGAAATCGATGGTAATTCTACGGTTTCAATTTTTTCTTCTCTTACTATATCCGAAATTGGTGGCAACTTTACGGCTTCAATTTTTTCTTTTTTTTCCATGACCTCAATCGGTGACGGTTTTGTGACTTCATTTTCTTCTTTTTTTACTATTTCGGCAATCGGTAGCGTTTCTGCGGTTTCAATCTCTTCTTTTTTTATTGCAGGTTTTTCATTTTCGATTTTTTCTTTGATTGCCGCGTCCAGAAGCAATGAATCTTCTTTTTCATTCAAAATAGGCTCTTCCACTTTAATTTTTTCTTCTATTGCTTCTATTGTAATCGGTGCTTTTTCTACGATAGGAAATTTGTCAGGTTCGAATTTTTCTACCTCGGTTATGTCCACAGTTGGTGAAATTGTCTCTGGTATCATTTTTTCTACTTCTTTTATATCTACTACCGGCATCGCGTTTTCTTGTTCTACCTCTTCCTTTTCTGAAATCGGCGAAACTTCTACAATTTCCATAGGTGGTATCATTTCTTTCATGTCTGAAATTTTAGTTTCATCTAACGTTGAATTTTCCTCCGACTTTTCTGCAACCCGTTCTACAAATTCGCTTTCCTCGGTAGGGAGTTTTACGTCAATTGGTACTTCCTCTTTTGTAGGTAGTAATTCTGATTCATCTATTGCTTCCATTGATGCATTCACTTCTGCCGATACTTCTTCAGAGATATGGAATGGTTCGGAATCAATTTTTATCGCAGGTTTCGTTTCTTTAGCCTTCAAAATTATTAATTCGTCTTGTAACTCAGTTTCACTTATTAATTTTTCAGTTTTTATTTTGTTCTTCTCAATCACCTTCTCCTGCTTACCTTCTGTGTTTATTGTTGCATTTTCCTCTTCCACTTCTTTAGGTTTTATCTATATAATTTGAATTGTAATATAATAGTTTTTAATTCGAAAATATTATGTTTAATTAAATTGAAAGCGTTCTTACAAATTTTTTATTAGGTGTTGAAATTAATTCGTAGCGTTTTACAAGTGATGGGAAGTACTTTCATTAATGTATTTTTTAATGCTCATGTGAAATAAATAACATTTTTTCATTAAAAACGCTACGAATTAATTCCAACACCTAATAAAACATTAATTACTGTTTTTTTTTTCTAAATATTAAATACTGTTTGAAAAAGTGACTTTTTCTCTCTTTAAAGAACCACAATACATATTCCGAAAATTTTTGCGCTGAACATTTTTTTATAATGCCGTAGAACTTGCGTACCACGGCAGGATTTGGAGTAAATTAAATGGCTAAAAACAGCGCTTTTGGCCATTTTCAACATTTTTTTACGGTAAAACTAAACTTTTTTTCTCAATCAAGTACATACCTCGAAGTTTTTTTCATACATGATGCAGTCAAAATTGACGTAGCATATCAGAATTTTTAAGTAAATTAAAGTAATAGTAAATTAAGGTGATTTTTGATCCATTTTACTCCAATTTATTAAAAATCCTGGTATATAAATTTTGATAAGAGATCGTGTTTCAGCGCATGAAATCTTCGAAATACTGTAGCACTTCAAATAAGAAAAAAATTTTTTGTTGAAATGCATAATTTATACAGAAAGTCCACAGTTTAAGCAATCATAACTTGATGAAAATAAATTATATAATCATGAAATAAAATTCATTTGATCATTTTTGAATTGTATTTTTAGATGGCGTAAACTTTATTTAGAAACAAATTTTTGTTTCTTCGTAAATAATATTAAAAATGGCTAAAAATGTCACTTTTTATTCATTTATTTCAATCATTTTATTCACACATGCTACGCAAATTTTATTAATTTGACACCGTGTTCAAAAAAATTTTCGGAATAACGTATTGTGATACTTCAGAAAGAATTAGTATTATTAAATAGTGTGAGATGGATATTATTAAATATAGTGAGAATTGAAAAGTATTGTTTGTATTTGTCATTACTTATAAATTGTGATTATTACTCACAAACAATGAATCGCAATATTAGGTATATCTGATCTCTTACCCCAACATACGTGCTAACTTGTTCTGCTAAGGTATCAGCATCTTTCTTTACTTCATGACAGTCAGGATGTTTCTGAATATATGGAACAGAAATACATTACTATGAAAAAATATACATATTCTGCATTTATTGTGTTACATACTACGTTAAATTTTTTCTAGCTAATGTCATATTATTAGCTAAAATATTAATACAGTTTGTGTATATTTATATAATTGCAATATTTCTTTAATTTTAATTGTAATACGAATTGTATACCGCTGCTGTCGTGCGAATTGTATCGATCGCATCAATCCACGATAGGATCGTCTTCCGTTGTATCACGATGTCCTGATTTTGATTATTTCCAGCCTCGATGCTGTTTACTTCCGGCGCTCGGTCTTTCGGCATCGTTACCAGCCTATCATCCTCAGCTTCTTCGATTGCCCGTGTTACAGTTTCTCTAACGTCTACGACTTCAGCGACCCCGTTTTCCACTTTCTCGGCAATTTTTCTCTCAATTTCAACGTCAGGGATTTCATCTTCTTTCTTTTCTCTTTTTTCAACCTCATCAACAGCGTTGTCTAATTTTTTTACTAATTCTTCTTTTTTAAATTGCCTCTCTTGTTCCTCAGTAATCACGGTTTCATTATATTCCTTTGTTAGTACAGGATGTTCCACACCCAACGCAGTAAGTTCCTCATCTGTCATACCGGTAGGTGACGTCACCACATCGTTGCATACGAAATCAGGTGCGCACGGCACACCGTCATCTGTATACAGATCTTCTAACGAGTCTAATTGTGCCAAATATTCCCGAGCTTCTTCAAATTTCTGTTGCTCATAAGCTACGTCTTCCGGTCGAACTATACTTTCTACATCTGTGATTTGTACAAGATCTACCGGACGATCGACAGCAAGATCAACCAAATCGGGTTTAACCGAGACGAACTTATCGTCCATGATAAAAGGAGGTTCTATATCGGCGATCAAGGCAACTCTCGCCAACGCTTCCTTATCCTCAACTTCGGTTATTGCTAACGCTTCCTCGTCCACGACTTTGATTTTCGCTAATACCTCCTCATCCACAACTTCGACCTTCGCAAGAACTTCGTCGTCCTTTACTGTGGCTATGTCATCTATCCTACCGATTGGCCGATGCACGACTTTAGCCTTTACCGCAACTTCCTTATCTACCACTTTTGCAACGTCATCGTCGCGACCTATCGTAGCTTCAACTTTCTCAATACTTAGAAACTTCTCTAGTTCTGTTCTACACGTGACTAGTCTTGTCCGGCACTTCTCGAGCGCATCTTCCAATTCGCATACACGATTCGCAAGTTGTTGATTGGCGGTAGTTTTCATGTCCAATTGTTCTTGCAATGCGCTCGTTGTATTGACCATGTCGCCCTCCATTTTTGACCACAATTCATCGGCCTGCTGAAGTGTTCTCATGTAAGCTTCCTCACGGCGTTCCAACTCGGTTATTTCTCGCTTTGTTATCATCTCCTCTTCCGCTAATCGTTGCAGCTTCTCCAGACACTGAATGTCTCCGGATTCGATGGACGTCACGCTAGAGACTTTGCTGAGATATCTCTGTTTACATTGCGTGTCACCGCACTGGCACAATTCATTTTCTATTTCTATTGGTTTCTTTTCCATCGCTTCTTGCAGCATTCTATTTTCTTCATTTAACCGTTCTATCGCGTTTCTTTGTTCTTCCTGAATCTTCCTGGCTTCGTCAAGTTTTCTTTTTCTTTCTTCCAACGTCGCGAGTTTTTCCGACCAAAGAGTTCGCGCTTCCTCCACCTTTTTCAATGCCAGTTTTCTTTCTGCCTCAACTTCTCGTACTCTGCAATCGTAATGACAGCTCGGTGTGCTGCGACAAGAGAGTTCTCTCGTGTCTTTAAATTGTTTCTCCAAAATACGCTTGATCCTGCAGACAGGCGCGCCTTGTGACATTCTCCAAATATTCCATATCATCACCGCCGGTATCGAGCACTCAAGCATATCCAGACGTTGTCGCAGATCTCCTTCCATCTTTTCCAATTCTTCTCTACGCTGCTCTCGTTTGCCAATTATATCACGAAGAGGACGTTGACATCGACGTTTATCGGCCGTCACCGTCACCATATCGCCAATTTTTTCTGAATTGTTGATCTCGCATTTTGATTTATCATATTTCTCGGTATTATCGACTTCCTTAGGAAAGGATTCTGACGTGATCATCTCTTGTGATATTCCATTATTCTCCTTCATTGACGTGATCATCTCTTGTGATATTCCATTATTCTCCTTCATTGACGTGATCATCTCTTGTGATATTCCATTATTCTCCTTCATTGACGTGATCATCTCTTGTGATATTTCATTATTCTCCTTCATTGCTTTTTTTTGGAAAGAATTTGTTTCTTTTATTGAGAATCTTTCTTCTTCTTCTTCCGACGTGTCTTCGATTATAAAAATCTTTTCTTCTGTTTCTTTTACGTTTTCTTGATAGATGGTATGATTCGACGATATGATAGTATGATTCGATGGTATGAATTCTTTATTAGAATTATTTTCGTTCTCCATGCTTTTCGTCTGACTAAAGATTTAATGATATTCTCTAAATTTTTGATTTTGCTGCGAATTTAATCTGACTATCAAAACGTAGGTTAATTTATCTGTCATAATGTTTCTAAGATATAGTAACCTATCATTATAATAAAATATAATGCAATTCCGAAGAATTTATATTTGCAATTATAAAATATACAGCTGTGCGATTTGAATCATTCTGTTCAAAATTTTAATCTACGATGCATTTTAGTGCTAAGCGGTTGTGAAATAGCGTTCCTACTTCCGCGATTATTTTCATCTGTTTGGAGATTGTGTCAAAAATACATTCATTAATAGCGCTAAAGGATTTAGTGGGATTTCTAACCCAGTTTACCTGGCCAATTATTCCCTCTTGCGTCGTCGTATACATACATTATCTTCATAACCATTAAATCATGTCTCGCTGGTTGATATACGGGATACGCCTAGCACTCGTCGTTCGTGAATGCGTAACGCATTACGTTTTCGACGAAAACGCACCATCAATTTTGGACAGATTCCAACGCGAGCAGATTCTGTCGGCAGATTGCCGCAAATCATTCGTGAGATTTGTCATAGCACCCGATTACAGCTTTCGATATCTCTCTGTCATAAATCATGGCTCTCGATACGAACATGTCTGTATATCCATTTGGCTATCTTTGTCATCAATGTACCGATCAAGATTGCTTTACTTTATTAACATCTTTATTAAGATGATATTAACGTTTTGTTGTATCTTTCATATTATAAGATAGATATAAGACAGTGGAACAAAACTATTCTATGGCAATAATGATAATATAAAATATACTTTATTATATTTTTATTATTAAACAAACGATCTTTTTTTTCTATATCATCGAGTATAAAAATAAATTTCAAGATGCAAAATTGCCTTCCTATTAAATAATAGTGTTATTGTATACTATTATTTTATAAGCAATAAAATCAGATGATGCGATTTATGCCAAAAAAAGTATACAAAACGTTATATGACAAATATTTTGATGTTAAACTTTAAGAGCATGCATAAAAGCAGTATGGTATTCAGAAAACTATTTTTATAGTGCTCCTATATGCGTCAACCTCGGATATCTTTATTCATGCACCGTAGTAAGAAATCGTTACAGAGATATGTTGGATCGTTTAACACCCAATATTAAATTTCAAATAGAACGCTTCTTAAATATCAAAGTACACAATTTATAAAGTATATTTTAAAGATTTGACGACAATGAACGAGAACTGAATCCTACGTTAAAATTTCATATTTATCATTAATTTTATTTAATTGGTTTGACATAATGTGTATTTTATTACTTCAATTTGAAGCTTAATAGTTTTCATGTTTAAAGAAGTTTACGGAGAGAGAGTTTGTCGGAGCGTGAAATTTATGAAGATGAACATCTTTCAAATGATTTATGATTTAAGAAATATTAAAGTATATAATCTTAATTTAACTTGTTTATCTAACGAAAAAAATGATTTTTGGGAAAAAAAATTAGACTTTTTGTGTTAAGACATATTTTGAATTTTTATAGGAGTTTTGTGTTAATTTATAAATTACAAAATTTTTTGTTAAAAAATTTTTCTTAATAACTTATTTTAATAATTTGATTCGTTCTTATAATTTAATTAATATAATTTAATATTATGAGATGTAAACTAATTATATTCTAGTGTTGAATAAACTAATTCATTTATACGTGTACACGTATTTATATTCTTATTGTGTATGATAAGTGAATCAGAACAAATCTATTTTAACGTGACAATACCAAAATCAATACAAATGCACAATGAAATATAAAAAAATCCGGAATATTGAACCAACAGCGACCTTTGCTTTTAATATTAGAAATTACTCATCCTTGTTAAATAATGAGCTTCAAGCGATATATTGATCTTTTTAACCTAAAGTATATATTGATTTTTACCTGTTATAAGAGTGGCTTAGTTCAATTTGTGTTCAAGGATAACCCTAAACATAACTCCGGAAAAGACCATATAACTTAGACTTCATCCATCAGACATAAACCTACCTGAATGAGAGGTTGACCTCATCTACTCTCGATTTTCTCTGATACTTTCTCTCTCTCTTTCTCTCTCTCTCTCTCTCTCTCTCTCTCTCTCTCTCACTCTTTCTGACCTCCTCGGTACCCTTCACAAAATCAATAGTCGGTGTGCCGAGTTTACTCTACGCTAGAACCACATTGGAAAACTCAAATTTGACACGCGATCGAAACCACAGATGAGAGGAAACGGAACTTCTGTGTTTACTTGCGAAACTTCCCGTGTGGATTTTTGACTCAATAAGACCTGTCTCGAGAGGCTAATCGACCAATGTAATTTTGCCCGAATAACGTAGAGCTCCAATTGATTTCGAACTTTGGGAACCGTCCCTTTTTCAATCCAAAGAAAAGTTTTCGCGACTAATCGCTGCTCGCCATGCTCGACGCCGGAGGATCTTTATAAACTGCGTTAAATGCGTTCGTTGAAACTTTATTGACAATGAACTGCTTGGAATATAAGGAAAATACACTTTTGTATTAAGCTCGCCTTGCCTCGGGAGATACTGATGACTTATATAATTAATAATTCTAACAAACTGAGTTTTAAACATACTGATTCAACTGTAAGTTTTACTTGATTTCAATTAAAACATTTTGAAGCATATTTGCATTTAATAACGCTAGTTATGAAGACAAATATTCGCCTGTGTTAGTAGATTACACGCGGAAAATTTTATGCTATCATACAATATCTTACTATTTGAGAAAATTTATTTTCAAGTTAAAGATCTTAATAGGAAAACATTATATAAACATCATATTTTTCACTTTTTAAATAATCGAAAATTAGCCAACGCGGTCACTAAGAATTTGTATGTATACTGAAAGAGTCTGATAATAATTATTAAATATCGAGAAAAATAATTTCAATCAAATTTTCGATTAATATATATAATAAAAATAATTTTACTTCTTTAAATATTTAGTAAGTATCGTATTAAAAAATGGTTAGATGATTGTGTATAGATGATCTGTCTCAGATTGATTGTGTTTGAAAGTCCGAACGTTTCGGCGTCACATCTGAGAAAATTTGATCTTCATATACATGCGAATGACTGAACATTTCGGCTCGCGATTATATCTTAAATTTATAAATCAAAAATATTGTATTATTTGGAACATCTAACTTTTTGATCGATTATTGGCGCTATCTATTTACGTATATATTAACATGGTCGATCTTATTTCTTAAAAATAATTTTATTTTTCTAAATATTTGATAAGTATTGTAAAACATAATAATATAACTAACCATTTTTTATAATACAATACTTACTAAATATTGGATCATCTAAAAAGTATCCGCGGTTTTTTGTCACTAGACCATCAACACCATCTAGTGACAAAAAACCGCGGATACTTTTTAGATGATCCAATATTTAGTAAGTACCCAATATTTAAAGTAAAATTATTTTTATTATATTATATTAATCGAAAATTTGATTGGAATTATTTTTCTCAATATTTCGACTAGCGATTATATCTTAAATTTATAAATCAAGAATATTATATTATTCGGAACATCTAACTTTGACCGATCATTGGCGTTTTCTACCGTATTTATGTTAAAAATTATTTTTGTTATATTAACAAAACATTTAGTTAGAATTATTTCATTGAACATTTATTAGCTATTATTAGTTTTTTTTTAGTGTATAAATTTGTAATTTTGTACATTGATTTTGGATTTTTGGCCAATTTGAAAGTAACTTAAGTTTATCTTTTTAATTAAAAGTGTAGTGGAGTATGTGCGTCGTTGGATTATATGAGTGAATGAACAAAAAAATATGCCGTTAAAATAGATCATTTATTAATAACTAGTTTGAAACGTAACGAATAGAATATTCGCTATATACATTTACAATACTTTGAATTTATTTCGATTAATAAATGGCTTTGTTTCTTTTTCCTAACGCGCTCTGTATTTATAAAAAATTGCTGCACACATCATTCAAACTCCGCGACTGGAGAAGGCAGGTAACGGCATAAATCATTCTTTGTGTTGGAATAAAGACTAAGAAATTTAAAACGCATAAGACTAAGAAATATAAAACGCAATTATTCTTTACGGTTCAACAATTAGCATTGATCAATTTTGAAGATAAATTTCTTTATATCATTAACAATTCGTATATTAACACAATAGTTATTTATAAAAGTTTGATAATTTTGTACAATTTTGTTTGACATATAAATAAGAATTACAAATTATTTCACAATATGACACAATAATACTTTTACAATAATAAGATTGAAATCGGAAGTATCACGTAATCGTAATATTCTAATAATTAAAACGAGCGTGCGAATGTAATTAATAGTTTTCGAAAGTTTTGTACTGTGTTTGTGTAAGTGACGATGAAGAAACTTGAGAAGATAAGTAGGAGGAGGACCTGCGAGACATCGGACGGTGAAGTAACTATAATGTGAAGTAAGTATTTATTTTATAATTTTTAATATATTTTATTTATAATATATTTACTTGTAGAGTTAATCTTGTAATATATTTACTTGCACAGTTACTCTTAAAAATAACATTTACAGTTATCCAATAAATAATTTACAGTTATTTACTACGATTTGAATGTAATTTTATTTTACAGTTCAAGTGATTGTTATGATAATTGCGCTGCTGTACATTGTGGGTAAGTGACAGGTTATCTTTAATTTTAATTTAAGTTCATGAATCTGCGAAAATTGTATCAGCTATACAAAAGATATAAATAGATA